AGGATTAAAGACAGAAGACAAAATATGAATTTTTCATCTTCTTAGGTGTGAGTAGGAAGAGTGAGCAGACTAAGAAAATGTATAAGTTACTGGGTGGCACTGGCAGCCTACTGGTGGTTTTCAGTTATGAATTAGTAATGAGACCAGTGAAGCACAGTTGTGTATTTTCAGTAGCCACAATTAGCTGCCCTGACATGTGTGTGGAGAAGATGAAGAGTTCAATTCAAGGAAATTGGTGATTTTGCCAAGTGAAAGAAAGGAAATGGAGTTAAGGGTCCATGCAAAGGATTGATTATGTTGACACACCATAAAATCTTAGCTGAGTAAGTAAGGGACTGAGAAAGTTTCTGGGTAAGGGTAAAGGGCAGTCAAAAGGTGTTAAGATCAATGGATTGTGGGTCCATATGAGGTCAAAGAAATTTTGAAGTCCAGTGATAGAGGAAGTCAACTGGAAATACGAAGGTGGTGGTCTGAGAGCGGAATAACTGAAATGGAGCTTATGAAAAAGTACAGTTAATGGTAATGATATAGACTAGAGAGTATTACTGTGGGAATTGGTGGCTGAGATAATGTCGTCAAATTTATTGGTTTAGGAAGGTATGGATAACAGGTGGAAGGATATTGACAGAATCATTTAAGTAGATATTAACTTCATCAAGAATTAGAAGTAGAGGTGGACGAAATGAGAGCCAGCCAGTATTAAAGTTTTTGAGGAATGAGGAGGAATGATGTCAGGTCTATACATGACGGTAACAAGGACAATTAAAGGCTAGTGTAGTCTGATGCCAAGAGATTCAAAGGTGGAGGCTATCAAGGGAAAAAGAGGGGCAATGATTTAGATGGGACAGTTGTCTGGAAGGAGCAAAAGGACACCCAGGAGAGAATCAGGGTACTTAGGACAGGATTCTTACAGGGCAATTAGAAATGACTAGGAGTTTCTGGACTTCATCATCATAGTAATAATAGTGCCTCATTTTTTTTACATTTTCATTTCTTTGATGACCTTAAAGTAGATTTTTTTTTTCATATGTAGGGGACTGAATAACTAATTGTGTTCTTAATTTGTTCTCACTGAGTTTCTTCTCTCCAAGTTTATGGAAGGTTCCTTTGTCTTGGGAAGATACAGATTGTCTCTTAAACCTAAATTTTCTTGGATTTTCTTAAAACCTAAGTTCTTTGATACAACTATGTTATGTCATTCTCACAAAGGGAAGGGAAAGAGGTAGTTACATTTTATATAGGATGAGGCAGGGCCAGAAGTACAAAAGCTTAGAGGGAGAAAGAGGTTCACTTGGAAGAGGAAACATTATGAGGAACTGTGGTTACTAAAGCAGGAGGGACCCATGTCCACCCAGCACCCAAGGAGGGAGTGTCACCACAGTGGACATGACTCTAGGTATCTGGGATTCTTGTTTTGACAATGATTTCCATAGCCGCACATGACACAGAAGTGTCAGGGTCACTGTAAGAGATTAGGTGAGCAAGAAGCGTATCGATGTTGAATAGCCTAGATTGTAGACCAGTGGGGTAACCCATGAATTTTCTGATCTTTGTACAATGGTAATAGATGAGTGAAGGTCTAAATGACGATTAAGATTAAGTTTCCTCTCAAACTGGTGGGATAAGAGTCGGAGTTCAAAAAATGATTTTTTGTTTGTTTTGGTTTGGTTTTTGCACACTCAGGTTTGTGAAGTAAAACTCATGCTTTTTACAGTCAAATGAAGTGCCTGTTTTCCAAGCCTATCACATAATATTAATTTTACTTATAGAGATTTTCAGTTTTGTTTTGCTTTGAACTTCCTTATATTCATTTCTATCTTGACTTGTGAGATGCAACTTTGCAGTATTGTACGCTTGCTTGTAGACTTTTGGAAAGATGGTCCCATTTAGCATGAATTTTAATGGCTACCTGTCCACCTGCTAGTCAGACACAATCTTTAAGCTACTAAAAAACTACATTCAGCGACTGCCTGGAACTTGATTCATCTGTTCACAGGAATATAATTTAAAGTTTGTGGATCAAAATATATATCAACAATCTTTGATGATCCCTTAAATTTGTCTCAGGATGGTACAACATATGGTCAATTTAGTGAAAAATAATCACTTTCAAACCAAATATTTGTACAAAATTGCCAGTTGAGTGGCTTGCTTTTGGGCTGTTTTTATGTTATTAAACAATCTGTCATTACTCACGAACCTTGGGTAATTACTAAAGGAGCATAGACGTTCCTTATGTGTTGCTTTTAAAAGGAAACAAAACTTAAAAACACACCATTATAATTTTTTTGTTTTATTTCAGGTTAGTAGGTAAAATCATTTGAAATTATCCAGAACAGGTCATTACCTTTTGGTCACTAGAACACAGATAGTACTTTGATGAAACAAAAGGATTTGTGATTTTTAATTTTAAGCTGTTTTAAATTAAATAGCACTAATGACAAGGCAATAAAGGCCTATTTCTTCCTTTCAACTAAGGTTTCCATTGAGCCTTTGCTTTATGTTAAACACGAAACGAGGCAGTGTGACGTGGTGTGGTAAAGCTGTAAGAAAAAGTTAATCCTGAACCTGATTTTGTATTCATTTATGAAGTAGGCTGTGGGCTAGGTTCTGAAAATATAGAGCTGTATAGAATCAATTTTATTCCCTCAGGAACTATTCTTTTTGAATCAATTGACGTGGTTATGAACAACATAGAACGTGACATGTGACAATGTTTTCTGAAACGTGTCTCTATTCAATTTTTGAAGTTAAAGAGTAGCCACGCTCAATGGTTTTATTACCTTCAGGAACCTGAGTATCCTTAAGTGAGGGCAAATGGCCCTATAAATAAGAAGTGCTATTATATTAGATATCACAGTGCTGGAAAAAGATTCAGTTAATAGACCTGCAGTATTGGGAGTCTGTAAACCCACTGGTCCCTTGTCCCTTTGACAGTGATAATGTTACTAAAAGCAATTTCCTCTCATGACCTACCCTGTCCCTATGCTTTGGTAAAGGGTCTCTAGGATAATGCCCTCTCTCTCAACCTCGAGGCATCACTCTGCCCGATCTAATTCCAATCTGTGGTGATATTTTTTAACTTTGGCTCAGAACACTGTCCCTTAAGGCAGCTGAGGTCTGGGGCCTGTGTATCAAACTGAATGAGTCAGTTTGATTGTAATGAAGCACTTTGAATTTAGCCTGGACAAGCCTATTGTGTCCAGGTAACACAACTCCTGAATGCCTGGCTACAACTGACAAATTAGTACCACACCCACCTGGCCCTAATGGGAAAGTCTGATAAACATCTCTCCAGAATGTTCTGAGACAATAGGATAGTCATGGGACCATGCGTCTAATGCTTCTGTGACCTGCTGGGAGAAGTGCTATTCCTTTTCTTTTCTTCAATTCCTCCCAAATGAAGGCCTCACCTTCCTTGACAACCTGCTCTGTTTATTCCATTTTCCACCATCAACAGGCACTAACCCCATTCTTGAATGCTAAGAAATGATGCATCTTTAGTCCTCCTTTGGATAAGCCTCCTCCTCTTTCTTCACTGGACTTCAAGATACTGGGGTGGGATCAGAAGGAAGTCAGCATTTAAACTTTCTTGGCTTATACCCATACCGTGTGAGTCTGTGTGTCTGTGTAAAGTCCCACAGATTTAGGGGAAAATTAATCAGTTTCAAACTCCAGCATTGTACCCAGAAATATTCTAATCAGATCGATATACCCCTCCTTAGCTAGAATTCCTAATGGAACAACAAATAGGCAGAACTCCTAACACCTTCCAATCAGGGCATCAACTACATACCTTAAAGAAGTGGGTACTTCCTGAATGAGTCCTAATTCTAACATCAGACAAGTAGATCTCAAATAATGACATCAGCCAATAATTTTAAAATATTTATTTTTAGAGGTTGAACAATAGTTCATTGCAGACTTTCTGATGAAACAATCAGCAGTCTCAAAGATTACTTCAGAAGCACTTTGAATTTAGCCTGGACAAGCCTATTGTGTCCAGGTAACACAACTCCTGAATGCCTGGCTACAACTGACAAATTAGTACCACACCCACCTGGCCCTAATGGGAAAGTCTGATAAACATCTCTCCAGAATGTTCTGAGACAATAGGATAGTCATGGGACCATGCGTCTAATGCTTCTGTGACCTGCTGGGAGAAGTGCTATTCCTTTTCTTTTCTTCAATTCCTCCCAAATGAAGGCCTCACCTTCCTTGACAACCTGCTCTGTTTATTCCATTTTCCACCATCAACAGGCACTAACCCCATTCTTGAATGCTAAGAAATGATGCATCTTTAGTCCTCCTTTGGATAAGCCTCCTCCTCTTTCTTCACTGGACTTCAAGATACTGGGGTGGGATCAGAAGGAAGTCAGCATTTAAACTTTCTTGGCTTATACCCATACCGTGTGAGTCTGTGTGTCTGTGTAAAGTCCCACAGATTTAGGGGAAAATTAATCAGTTTCAAACTCCAGCATTGTACCCAGAAATATTCTAATCAGATCGATATACCCCTCCTTAGCTAGAATTCCTAATGGAACAACAAATAGGCAGAACTCCTAACACCTTCCAATCAGGGCATCAACTACATACCTTAAAGAAGTGGGTATTTCCTGAATGAGTCCTAATTCTAACATCAGACAAGTAGATCTCAAATAATGACATCAGCCAATAATTTTAAAATATTTATTTTTAGAGGTTGAACAATAGTTCATTGCAGACTTTCTGATGAAACAATCAGCAGTCTCAAAGATTACTTCAGTAATTTTTAAAGTTAGAGCACAGATTGAGTACAAATTGATTTAAACAGGCACGTTTTTTAAAAGAATTGAAGAGTACTTAAAAGATCCCATTGAATACATGTGGCATTATTCCCAGTTTCATGTATACTGTATCAATTAAATGAGTCCTGACGGAAAACAGTTGGTGATTAATTTATCTAGAAACTGGTAGCACTGAAAATGTTAAAATTCATGCATTCTAATGTTGTGTGTTCATGTGCGATTTCTGCTTTGCTTATTTTACCATCTTAATGCTGATTCTTTCTTACTGTTTCCACTGAGGATCTTCAGCAGACCTACTCACTCAGAGCTTTTCTTGTCAGCCTTTTTCATACCTTGTTTTCTAGTTTTCAAATATTTCCAACAATGTGTTTTATTTTGGAAAAGGGCTTTGGTGAAAAAACTGAAGTACACTGACATCAAACTGTACTCTATTCCAAAGCTACTTACAACCTGCCAGAACTTTCATTGCTTCAAATCACCAGGCTAGGGAAATTGGCTAGTCAGGAGTCCTCCTCTACACTTCAGTGATAGGCCAGGTGCTGCTGCTACAAGGCGATGTGTAGATAAAATATCTTTTGTCTATTACTGTGCACTAACTGAAATTTAATTGGCTGTTCACTTTTTTCTTTCAGCTAGAAAAGTGTGTACAAATTCCATATGGAATGACATCTAAATCCGAAATATTCATTACCTCCAAACCACTTTAAATATTTTTAGTTCTTTCAGTCCTTTAGCTACCCAACATTCCAATCTCCCTTCTTAATATGGGCCCAGCTTCCTGTCTTCAATAACACCTTATCCTTTCAAGCTCAGTTACACATTGGCAATGTCTCTTGCTTGTTTACTTTGGAACATCCCTATAGATTCAGTTCACTACTATCTACATTTACTAGAACAACAGCCACAGGGTACAATGGGAGTTGGCTTACTAAAATAGTTTACTGTCTTACTGCCTTAAAAATATGATTTTAAGATAAAACTTATTTTGTACCTTAACTCTGAGTTAATATTATGAAGAAAAAAAGTGAATTCTTAAAAGACGTGATTCTACTACACTATTTAAGTGAGAAATTTTTCTGAAATTGAAACATAGCAAGCTCCATTTGCTCAGCAATGAGGTACTTGCACAGAGTTCCCCATGGCCTTTTTGGTGTACGACTTTATAATAATCAAGACTACTTCTAAGGAAATAATTTGACAAAAAAAGTTTGTTTTCTCTTTAAACTACTACATTTAAAAAGTCATTTGAGTTGTAAACTCTCAGGATAAGCCAGCTGTAGGGTCACATTATTTTGTCACAGTAAAAGAAATGTGAATCACATTTACTTCTTCAGTTCATGGATTCAGGTTCTCCTAAGTGCTCATTATTGAGCTACTACACTCTTGATATAAGTTGTTAGGAAAATCCAAGTCGCCATTCCTGGCACCAGGGTGCTAAGAAATATTGTGCTATCATGAAATCACACAAAATTAGCTGCTTTTTTATTCTGGTTAACCAAGTAGTTTGAAAACTATTATCCCACCAGCACTGTCTTCAGATTTTTAGAAGCAGAGCTAGAGGATTATACTGAGGTATACTTTGTGGTAGTTCTGTGCTTCTCTGTTGCCCCAGAACTAACCATGGTATTGAGGATGGATTTGCAGAAATTATGCTTTTCACCAGGTAACAGTTACCACTGGTGACCAAACACCACCTATCCATGGCGTCTATAATACACTGGGGCAGTGGACTAGCATGATGTTCACTACTCTCAATTTGTAGACTTGGGTGTTTGATGAAAGTTGCATTTATTTTCAAAATCTTTTCCTTTTTTTTTTTAACCTATACTGTTAAGTCTCTATAAGTGGACTTATCACTTTTACATTCTGATTTTACAGAAATAGAAACACGAAAATCACAAGTATTAACAACCGAAGGATTTTTGTTGTTACATTTTGTTGTTTTTGCTTAATAACCGGAGGAAAAAATTTTATATAGTTTAATCTGGGATTGAGAAAATACTTAATGCCATCTGATGGTCACATTGCTGACCAGATAAGAATTTTGATAAGTCAACTAATCTGTCCTTAAGAGTAGACTTTGACACCTATTTTAAAGTATTTAAAAAAACAAGAAATGAAACAACTCATTCTACAGTACATGTGTATAGGAGTTCAGTCCTGTATTTTTAGGCTTGCAAGTATATTATTTGGTGGTTTTTAAAAACAGCTATTGCACATCTTTGGAGGTTCTGAGGAAAATCAAGCATCTGAGGCTTTTTTATTTCTTCTTCTCAGGAGAAAACCAGCTTAACATGGGATGAAAATAACAAAACTGGTCTCTGACTGTGAGCTTAACTGTCATGGAGCGGTGAGGAAATGGGTGGCCTTTTCCCCTTTATCACTGTAGTTTTTTCCAAGCATGCAGGTTGTTCAGCCTTAGTCTAGCTTATAGCATAGATTATTATTTTCATTCCATAATCTAACCTTTGGTTCTTTATATGAGTGTGAATTCACATGTGATTTGTTGTTATTTTTATTTTTTCTGAAAAGCTTCATTCAGGGCAAATTCTTTTGAAAGCTTCTTGGAATCTAACTCTTGCGGGTTTCTTTACTCCATGTTGTAAAATCTGAATATAGATACTGTCCAAACTGTCCAAACAGTAACATTTCAATTCACAGTAACAAAAGTTACGAAGTTTGTGCAAAAGACGTTGTACACCATTGGAGTACATAGAGCTTGCTATAGTTAATTTTATATATAAAGCTGCATTTATCATTAAAACTATTGTGTGCTACATTAAAAGTAAAGAATCTGATTTAATTTTTCCCTAACAATAAAACTGAATGCTCATTTAATCTCAGAAATTTTAAGATGCAAATTGTGTGCTTATGAAGTTTGTAAATGTTGTAATAAATCATCGGAACCTTTCAAACACCATAATTGCTCTGGAGCTCTTCAAGTTTTCCAAGGGTCATAAAATACCCGGCTGTGGCGATTGCGTAGGGTAGAGGTACAGAACAGCTTTAAAAAGAGAGAAAGAGAAACCATCAGTAAGCGTTCAATAAACTGTAGCCTGATATTTGATAGATATAATTTCAATGAATACTCATCAATCAATTAAAAATCAAGACAGACACACTGTTTTTCAGAACAGGGTTTTCTCAAATGAAAGAAAAGAATTTTAATAAATATGGAGTCTAAATTATGTAATAAAAAAACTTTTACCATGTTCTATATAGTTGTTCTTCATATAGTTTAAGTAAAATTAGGCTTTTGTTGGTGGCATTCATTTGCTGAACTTCTTCACTGGCTTTGCTTAACAAATCCTCTTTGCTTTTTAAAGAGATTTAATCTACTTCTACTCAAGTTGGCTTTCCCTTTGCTTTTAGTATAAAGTGATTGGATTATTTGGTAGCGTTCATCATTGTTGCTAGTGTTTAAGTGATCACTGAAATTTTCTACTTGGTGCAGTTTTCTATTTCAGTACAATGGCTGACATCAGTAGATTGATATGAGTTAAACCAACTGGCTTCAAGAGGAACATGTCGTGTAAGTAGTGTCTGTACCACAAAGAAATTTAGAACAGAACATGAACATAAATCGGGAACAGAGGCCTCTTGTTAGGACTAACGCTTTTAGCATCCACAGTAGATACTTAGGAGGCTTTGTGACATAATGATGATGATGATGATGATGATGATCATAACACTAGCTATTCTCAACTTAACACATGTATGTGCCAGGCCATCTGTGTCATTATTAATTTTCAGAATTGTTCCTGGAGCCATTATTAATATTCTCATTTTGGAGATGAAGGAACTAAGGCTCAGAAAAATTAATCAAACTTCCAGGTTCTTACACCTAGTTAGGTGTTAGAGACAGAACTGCATCTTACGTCTTCCTGACCTCAAACACGGGTTCTTGCCAATTTATCCCTTAATATTACAAACGTGTACCTTTCCTTGATGCACAGTGCTTTACTCTGGGTGTTCTGATATTAATTTGGGTCCTCTGCAGTCTCTTCTAAATGTGAATGTTTCCTACTCCTATTAAGATTATTACTTCATGTTATTATTTCTCCTAATATATAGGGGCTTTAGTGATTTTATACAATGCATTTTTTCATCTAAACTCTGAATTAGTTGTTAAAATTGATCACATTATGCATATAATCGTTAAATCTTGATTTTACTTTTCTTTCCTGTAAAATGGACATAATAATAGCCACTTCTAAGGATAAAATATGATAGCTTTTGAAGTATTTAGCACAAACTCTACCACATAATTAGGTGTGCAGCAGATATGAATACTTTTTCCTTCTATTACTGGAATATGTTGAAACTATAAAAGGTAGATGTACTCAATTGTGTTGTTTCAAAATACCATATTAATATGAACATGAAAAGAAATATGCATCAAATAATGGATTTTGTAGCAGACAAAATAGTGGCTAAATTTTGCTTAGGATATAATTAGAATCTTTACTTTTCTGAAAATGGCTTATTTTTTAAAGCAAACTTCATTTGCCAAATCAATAGTTCTACTGCAAAATGCAAAATTGTTTTTAGCAATAGTATGCCAATTTGAGAAATACAGTGTAAGTACATTTATTGCCAAAGGAAAAGGATATACATTTCCTTAATTTTCATTGCTTGCTTAGTTTTTTTTGCTCTAACTGGGGGATGTGAGCTATACCTTGTCACCTCGGGCACACAGGAATCTCAGCTTCTTAATTGACCTGCGCTTCAGTTCACTTTCCAGAACCCTCGATTGCAAAGAGCGGACTTCAATGGCCTTTTGGCCCCATCCTGTGGTTCGCTGTGTACACTCATAAGCTACAATAATAATTAAAACTCAGAAAAATACAAAATCTATAAGTGATAAAAAATGTATAACCACAATCAGTATTTGATTATTAAAAGGTTCATTATTCCAGCTCAGGTAAGCACACTGGTTTTTCTTCCTTCTACGGTCAGTCATTTCGCTATTGCGTTGCTTAGTAGTGGTGTTCAAACCAGCTATTTATTGTCACGACTGTGACCAATCCTGAATAACTAGATATCAATTAAGTTTTGTATTCATATTCTCTAATACCACAGGAAAAGCTAAGGGTTAATTTGACCCTATTGTAGGAAGTCAGATCTACCCACAGCCAGTCTTTATTTTACAGTTTCATTGAGGTATGGCATTCCATAAGGGTTTATATGTGTGCTCAAGTGATATACATGGAAACCTGACTAACTCTTGAAAATTAAAACTGTTAAAAAAAAGACTTGCTCAGATAATGACTTTAGCAATTCTAATGCAATTCCATGATGTTACAAGCTCTTCTGATACTGTTAAAAGTCCCTCGTGCTCAGGGAATTTTTGCGAAGATGTTAACTTTTGGACCCTGTGTTACAACTTGGTGACAGTAAAGATTATGACAATTGCCTTATAGCAGAAAACCTAATTATGTAAATATCCATATAGTCAGCTAGTGCTGTAAGGTATTTTCTGATGCAGGGAGAGCAGTATTATTATTTTTAATTATTTTTTGCATTAAAATATTGTTGATATACAACATTGTATTGGTTTCAAGTATACAACAGAGTGATTCAACAGTTACACATGTTATTAAATCCTTACCCCAACTAGTGCAGTTATTATCTATTGGCATAGAGAGAT